CAAGGAAACATAAGGGTCGAGTACTGTGTTTGTTTCAACAGACCGAGAAGGGAAACCAGAAAGGGGGGGATATCGAACAAAATGTCGCTGACGAAGCGAATCGTGGGATCTAGAAGTAAACAAAAAAGGGAAATAAACGAATGCGGAAAAGAACATAGGGGAGGGGGGGGAGGGAAAGGGAATAGTCGGGATTACCATCCCGAGCCGATGCCGGACCGAAACCAAATACCACCACACACACACACCAGATACTGTCTGTCCGGTCGTTTGCTTTCGTCCACGCCATGTCATACCCAAACCTTCTAACCCAAGCCATCCAATCCAGGAAAAACACCGACGCTAATATGAGAAAAGAAAAGAGAGTAAAGAAAACAAAAAAGGTTTTGTAATAACAACAATTAAAGAATAGAAGTTGTAAGAAAAACAAAACAAAAACAAAGGAAAATGTCGAGTTGTACATATATAAGAGTAGTGGTAGCAAAGCCCGTGGCTGGGGCTGTCGTCGTCGTCGCCGTCGTCGTCGTCCCAAATCTAGTCCGTTGTATTACTAGGACTTTGACGCGACTTGTTCAAGGGAGAGACTGGGTCTCGCTGAGCTGACGGTCTCCTCGAGGGCCTTGCGGTAGGCATTCGTCTTTGACATTTGCGTCTCGTAGTGTTCTTTGAGGCGGCGCTGACGGCGCTCACGCTTGTACATCCATCGCACGGCAATGACAAGGCAGAGTATGATGCCGCCAAGCAGGCCTCCGAGGATGGCGCCGACAATAGCTGTGTGGGTCTTTTCGTGCTGGCAGTTGGAGATGGTTGGTAATGTAGGCATAGGGCTGGAAGATGCGGGTTCTTGATCAGGGCTGTTGGTTGCTGGTGTTGAGGCTGGGGCTTCTGGCATCTGGAGGGTGGCGCTGAGAGGTGATGTGACTCGGGGTGCTGTGGGGTTGTTACAGCAGCTTTTGGTGGAGTTGGCTGCGCGGCAGCAGTATTCACCAGAGTCGCAGGTTTGGAGTTGCCATGCAGTGACTGTGGATGCGCTGTTTGAGTTGCTGGAACCTGTCAACTTGTTAGGATTGCTTGTATCGTTAAATTTGTTTTTTTTGTGAAGACATACCACCCGAGCATTGCTGTGGGCATGCTACATCCTTTCCAGTAGAATCTGTGCAGCCTCTTGAAAAGATGACGCCAATTGAGGCTCCTTGAGTTCCCATGCACAGTCCATTGCTCAGACAAATATCGCCGCTCGCGCAGCAACCGCTAACCTTTGCGCTAGGGTTGCATGGTGTGTATGATTTATCGAGCAGCGAACCGTCGACGCCATAGCATTGCTGGCTTTTTACAACGGCCGCCAAAGTCACAAGGACCGTTAGAATAGATCGGCACCCGACCATATTAGACAAAAGACTAAACGAAAAAAAAAGAAAGTAAAGGAGAGACTATGAAAGCAAAGAGACCAGTGGGAAAGAAGGTCACGGCTACCAGCCAAAAAGTAAAAGAGTGAACTGGTGATGTTGAGAGACTACGGAGATATACAGACAGTTTAGGTGTTTGACCACCGCATATACATATGGTTGTGGGACGGGCAGGATTGCAGGGCCATATTTAGTGTGTGATCCCTACTCTGCAGTATTATGCGACGGAGCCCTGTCAACTCTACCTACGTGCACAGGCTGAGCTGACCAAAATAGCAGGGTATACCCAGTCGCGCCATGAAACAAGGTGGGCAAAACCTCTTCGCTGTGGTTCCGCAAGCGTAAGTAGGTACGACTCGGCTGGGGTAACGCAGCGAACCGGCCGCCCGCGTCCAGGCGTAGCGCCTCGAGTCCAGAAGACTTTAGCAGCCAAATGAGCGACAAAAGCAAAGGCAACGGGTCGTCCGGGCGCCACTGTGTGGCTCATTTTACGCTGCAGAGCACGAGCGCGAGTTTCCTTCCGCCCCCATGTTTTGACTTGCTTTGACGTGTGCTAGGCAGGGTGTTTGAAATCGCTTTTTTTTTTGCTTGGCCCCGGCCACAAAGAGAAGGTCGTCAAGACGAGTGAGAACCACGCGGCGAATGGATGGCCAAGAGAGAAATGCGCCTAGGGGGGTCGGGGGGAAAGTTTGACATGCAGGGACAATCATGGTAAGGTGAAGAGCAGATGATAGGCCAAGACACAGACTGGGCATCAGCCATACGTGCGTAGAGACGGTCCTTTGCAGCTCCCTTCTGCATCCGCGCATACACTCCTTCAACATGTCTATTTTCTGCACGCTGCGATGCGACTCATCGCCGTTGTCAACGGTACTACCGGCCAACCGTCCTGTCATTTTTTTTCTTTGTTCGCTGGCTAGAGACAACGGCCAGCCGCATGGCTTGCTGCTAGTTCAGCACACTCCAAGTTGGCTACCAGCCAAGCCCATTACAGCTGCTTTCAACCCGTTTTTGAGGACAATCTCATCGCATCTGTGATAGCCCTGCGGCTGTGGCTTCCCAGCCTCGTTTCTCTGGCGTATTTTCCCTCTGCTTATGAAGATCGTCGGTCAGATCTCAACTCGCCTGTACCCGGGAATTGAAGAGCCGGGACCCCCCTTGATCAAGATCCAACCAAGCCACGAGCTCCTATACGTCACTGATCTACGTGGAGATTTGGCCTTGCTACTTTTTTGTCGCATTCTAATCGTTTCTAGACTTGGTTACCTAGTTACAACAGATGCTCTGACCTCCTTTTTCCACAACCCCGCGCAGGGTCCTTGTCCCGTTTAAGGAAGACGCTCCAAGCCCTCTTCGACCCATGCGTGAACGCGTACCTGCTGCTCACTTGGCAGACTGGCACCGTCAGCTGGTGCCCGAGGGAAACCGATTTGAAAGTGAACAGCATCGTCCTAACGCTTTTAAGAGAGACAGGTTTGCAGCGCCCATCTGCCGTGGACGCATCCGTCGGGCTGACTCGATCCATTCCCCATTCACATCCTACCAACGCCCGGAAGCGCAAGCCATCTTCCGAGGTCCATTAGCGCCCTATTACGGCATGACTACAGATGAAACCCATGCTGCAGACATCAGATTATGGGCTCAAACTTTACAAGATGCGGATGACAATCCGAGGCAGCCTTACTTGCCAAAGTGGAGAGGACCTCATTAGGAAAGTCGGAGCAATGGCCAGGCACCAAAGTAGTAGTAGTAGTAGTAGTTCAGCCATGAAACTTCAACCCAACTCTGCGAGCGTTTCATCCAATCTCCTGACATTGTCATCTCGACGACTGTCCTCAACCGCCCAATCGAGCAAGTTCTGCTTGGCCATCTCCGCCCAACGCCGCGCCTCGCTAGCCATTCCATGGCCTGCATACACATATGCCAGTCTCTCGTAATCCTCGGCCAGCAACACCTCCAAGCCTTCGGACTGCGCAATCGCCATGACTTCCTTCTCCCATTCCACTACTTGTTTCGCGTCGTAAGTCTCCGCTGTCAGATTCTGAAGCTTCTGCTTGAGCCTTGCAAACTTTACGCGCCGATCGTCGCTTGCCTTTGTTTCGCCGTGCGGCGCCGTACAGAGCGAGCATGTACACTCAAAGTTCCATCCATCCTTGTACAGTTCCTGTCGTTCTTCGCGCGTCAAGTCTACCCTTCCGTACGAGATGTTTATTTCTTCTCCTGCGGCAATGTCTTGCTTCGCCTTGACTTGCATCGATAGTGTCTTTGAGACGAAGCGTGCGAGGGCATTCGGCTGGCAAGCGTGGTTGATGCGGGAGACGGATGGGAAGAGACAAATGTAGGCTTTGTCCACGTTGCCATCGTCTAGCCGGCAAGCAAAAGAGTTGGTCTTCATAACGTCCTCGATTGGACTTCCACCCAGACTCTGATCTAATGCCGCAACCATCTTGTGATCTTTTTCCGGAAGTCTATCGAGCGCCGAGTTGAACAAAATCCGGCCTTGGGCGTGCGATATGCGCGCTGGAAAGTGAGAACTGGCAATTATACGTGCTGGATCAAGCAGGATCGTCTCCCCCTTCTTGATGACTTTTGTCGTAAAGAGACCTTTGCCTTTGCCCGGGATAGACCGTACTTGGAGGCCATCTTCGGAATACTTGACTCTCTTCTTCTGCTTGCTAAACTTTGCTGATAATTTCCCCGCAGCAGATGGTGTCGCGATGATGCTCAGACCATGGCCGCTACCCGAGTCTGACGTTGTGTGTGTGCAGTAAACCTTCTCTTTCCCTGTGACGCACATCGGTTCGTGAGACCATATCGGGTGTTGAAATGACGGTATGACGGGTGGCGGTTTGGCGTCGGTATCTCCATGTAGACATTGCTGGGACCGGAGTGGGGTCTGCATCTGTGCTGCAAAGTGCGGCGGTAGGTTGGCACATTGTGGTGATGATGGCCCGTGGATGTGCGACGTAGTAGCAGCGGCGCATGCGCCGCTTAGAGCAAAAAAGACCCTTAGAGAGTTCATGTTGTTGAGTGACAGTGGTTAGGTTGCATCGCCAGTTCAAAGTCTGTCTTCTTTGCTCCTGTGACTTCTTCCTTCTTCTGTAACATGCCTGTAACAGATGCGGTGTGGCCATGTCGACCAGGGCTCGTGGCATCTCTTGGTCTCACCAACCTACATACTACTTACTACATACTATGTACATAACTATTCGATGTTACCAGCGACTCTTCGCTCTGCCGTTCAATCATCTTTGATTGCATATGTGAGAAACTTGCTGACAGCAATCTGAGCCGACCCGAATCTCAAGGTTGACGTTCCGGAAGCGCTAACCATCAGCCCGGCAGTGGCTGTCACATCCCCTTACCCCCCTTACCGGGAGTTTGATCATCTTCGTATCCCCCCCCCATTTATCAGCCCTACGTGCAACCCGAAACAGGGCGCCAAGCTTCCTTCCATTACACCTCATGTCAACCTCAGATCAATGCGCATGTCTGTATGACGAGTAGCTTTAACCAGACACAGTAGTAACCCATTGCTGACTCGTCACTGGACCCTCCACACTTTTGCTTCCTTCCATTGATACAACTGCCGTGGCATTAGCTCAGCCTTGCAGAAGTAAAATGAGTACGGTGTGAGTTGCACAAGGATTTCGTCATTCCTCCGCTCCCTGTCGTAGCCCTGCGGCTCGTGACACATTGCCCGACGTTAGTACTGCCCAGCTTTTTTTTTCTTTTCTTCTTCTCTTCTTTCTCGTCGCGCAACAGCGCACAGCGCGGCTCCTCGGCCGAGACTCGGCTGGTATGAGGATTTGCAGTGTGAGGAATAGAGTTGGAAGATCGACATGCATGCGGTAGTGGCTTGCTACTATTCCTAGAGTCGACCGCAGTTTTTCCATGTAAGTATGTCGGGTCAAGCACATGCAGGCGCGATGCATAACGGGAGGTAAAAATGAGAAAAGTAAAATAATGGACCTGCAGATGGAGCAAACCTGGTTGTCGGTAATGTACGAGATGGGAGGCATGATGGCGGCTGTCCAAGCTTTGCCTCTATCTCGAACACCCAAAAGCCAATAGTATTGTATAACGCGCGCGGTATTGAGCTGTATTTGTATACCAATGACTCCCGTTAACCGGCATTTAGCCGATATACATTGTGGAGTGTCGTTTGCTTGCAGCCTCTGGGGGTTGTTGCGAAGGGATCCTAGGTATATAACCTATATCTTAAAAATAATTGTAGGCTATCAATTTAGGATAGTCGGGAGTAATGCTATTTCTGTTTTGGTATTTATCACACATGTCGATCAATTCTGCTTCTATTCTTTTCTGCTCATCTTAAGGCTTTACTCTATCCAAACCACGTACTATTGGCCGCCCATGGTCGAGTGGAATTTTCTTTATAAACGGCCGAGAAAGGGAGTATCAAACAACTCTGCCGCATGAACGATTGAATTTGGTAGTAGTTAACGAGTTTTATTAGATCCTTTCTTCGTTGTTTCCGAAGTAATCATTATGTTACAAGACGAGTATGCGTGGTCGCAAAACGCCCATTGACTATAAAAAACGCATATACGGACATGTTAAGAAGTCAATACACGTACAGCTTACGAGAAAAAGGGACCAAGTGAACAGACCACCTCAACTCTTTACCTTCTCTACCACATCCTTTTCTTCTCGAGGCAAAGAGAAAAGACAACTTCTTGAGCAAAAAGACTTCAACACAGGTACCAGAAAAGAAAAAGACAAAGAATAACAAGCGCGACTGGATATTACGATTCGAATCGAACTCACGCATGTCTGCCTAATCGCCTGTAGACACGAGCCAGTGCCAAAAAAGGAAAGTACACACCTGGGGTTGATGCGCATATGTTAAGTATAAGATACGAAATGCCAGAGGCAAATTGAAGCTACTTTCCTGAAAGAAAGAACGAATAATAAAAAGTATATACCTATTGACGTTCTTAACGCAAAGAAGCACCTCAGCACATCCCATTTTACAAAAAGGGACGAGAAAGTGGTGGTGACGACAACGACGGACCACGTAAGGCTGTTGCCTGAAGTTGAGCTGCTTGGCGTCGAATAGTCTGACTTGCTCATCTCGCAAAACTACGGTAACCTACTGCAGGGGGAAAAAACATAATTACCTAAGCCTGTTGCCTAGTCACCGACGCAACGAATCTCGTACGAATGCCCGGGACTTACCGTACGCGTGTCACCATGCTATTCGGTCGCCCGAGAATTCCGATTTCAACCCTGCGCTCAATGCAAGACTTTTGTCTGGACGCGTACGTACCGGACCGCGAGGTCCCAAGGTTGGACTGGAACAAACGTGTGCGAGTCTTACCCCTTCAATTGAAGAGTATCAGGTATTTGTTTTTTTGCGGTGAGTCTGCGTGTCCGAGGACTCTGTTTTATATGTAACATGGGCGAGCGAAGATAAAAAAGCTTTGAAACTCTGCAAGTGGAGAAGCCGGCAAATTTGTGCCCTCTCGAACATGACATAGGAAAACAAGTCTCTGTCTCTGTGTGTGTCTCTCTCCTTCAGGGGGGTTTAAGCACGGCTGCAATAACGCGGTCTTTCCTTTCTTTTTGTCAACCCCCCGTTCTCTCAACAAATGACAAACGCCATATATGCAAAAAAAAAAGGAACAAGATAGAGAACAACGTTTTGTGTCCTGGTATCGATCAAAGTCGAAAAGGAAAAAAGAAAGCGCAAAGACCAGACTGTCGAAACCTCAAAAGTGAGGACGAGGCAAGGGAGACCGACACTGGGTCAACCCTACGGTACACGCAAAGATAATAGGAATGTGCTAGAGCAGCAAGGTAGCCATGGATATAACGCCGTCGAAATGCAAATCTTCATCCTAAATCCACCCACCCTAACCCACCGGTCGTGAATCATAGATCGTCGTCGAGATCGATCGCGTCTGGGTTCGCCGTTGGCTCTTCGGCAGGCTTGATGTTGCCGCCCTGCGGGCCTGTGCTAGCAGCGACAAAGCCAGCGGGTGCACGAGCTTGGCGTTCAAGGGCAGCCATTGCGTCTTCGTCGGCAGGGTCTGCGGTCCCGTCTTCGTTGGCGGCCGCACCGTTTTGCTGGCCGCGGGCAACAGCTTGGGAGGCGATGAAGTTGACATCGGTACTATATATATGTTAGCAATGCATCTCAGCATTCTAAGGAAAAGTAGTACGTACTTGTACTGAGCCTGGACACTCCGCTTGATGCGCAGCATCTCCTTGTAGGTGTCTTCGTTTCCGTGTTGGACTTCGAAAGACTCCCACTTCTTCCAGAACTCGGGGTTTGTCCTCGGATCGCAGAACTGACTGGCATGGCCGTAGATGGCTCGCGCTCGGTCAATTTCTCCCAGACGTCGTTCCATCTCAGCAAACTTGAGACACATTTCCTTGGCTTCTGCGTCGGGCAGAGCGGCAATGGCACGCTCGTAAATTGGTCGTGTAGAAGTAAGACCAAAGTTGGATGCCGACTTGGTGATGTAGAAATTAAACATTTCCATCCTATCTTCATCTGCTACGGCGCGTGTAGCACGTTCATAGATGCGCATGGCATGTCTGGCCAGACCACGGTCTTCCTCGAGGGCACCGTACATGAGATATAGTACCTTGGCAAACTTTGGCGGGCAGTCCTCGACAGCCTGTTCAAACAGGTCTCGTAGTCGTTCCATACCAATCTTTCGATCAACGGCTTTGGTCAAGTAAAGATTCCAAATCTCGAAAGCGACAGGATAGCTGAAAAGATCCAACCCACGCTCATATACCTTGAAGCAGTCTTCAAAGTACTTGTTCTCTTCCAGCAAGTTGGCGTAGTTGACAATCGTCTGCGGTGTAGCAATTCGAAGCTCGAAAATCCTTTCATATATCTTTCTTGTCTCTTCCAAAGTGCTAACACTCTCGACAAGATCAACATAGAAGCTCCACAGTTTCCAGCTCTTGTGTACACGCTGTTGTGGGGAAAGAGATTCGTCAAAGTAGTCGACATTGGATCGTTTTGGTGCCTGCGTAGCCTTGGCCATGATGTCGACGGCCTTGTCGAAATTTTCGTTGCGGAGCTCCATCTCTGCCCATTCGCACCACATCTCAGCCAGCTCGGAAACGGACTTGAAGGGCACCTTAACGGCCTTCTCCATAATAACGCGCGCATTCTGAAGATCCCCACCGGCTTCGTAAATCTTGGCGTAGTTGGTCCAAAGTTCGTGGAACTTGCCAACTGCCTTCTTGGGGTTGATCGCGGCAATGGCATCGGTGTATGTCTGTACCACCTCTTTCTTGTTGTCGCCCCAGAGCGCAACGCGCTTCTCCCATTCAATAACGTTGTGCGGGTTCTGTCGCAACATAACATCGTTGAGTAGGAATGGTCTTCTTTGCATCAGTGACTCGAAGCGAACCATTCTGATGTCGAGGTCGGCGTCGGCGGCCTCGTCGATTTTGCCCTTCTCGGACCGGACAGCGGCCTCGTTCAGTTTGATACCAATCATGGTTTCCTCGGCTTCCACGTATGTGTCGAAAACGACTGAAAAATCGCGCACAGTCATGACTGTAGTGACACCCTCTTCGAAGACGTCCCGCGCTTTTTCGTATTCGCCCTTGTGCATCCAATAACGTGCCAGACCGACCCACAGGATGCCTCGCTGATCGGGAAACTTGGTGATGCCGCTCTGGATGATCTTCTCGACGTCGATACCGCTGTCGTCGCTGGTATCGATTTCTTTAGCATGGTCGATGATAAGATCAATCATCTCAGTCCAGAACTGGAAAGGCCCCTTTGCTTCTTTGCTTTTGAAGCGAGGATTGTTGAGAATCTCCATGTACTTTTTGACAGCCTCAGTGTACTTGCGCATGTCCTTGAGGAGCTCAATGAAATCCTCAGCATCTTCGGGGTGAATTTGCATGTACCGGCGCCAGATCTTGACAGCCGTCTCGCCGGATGCAGACGTCGCGAAGGGTCGGTACAAGGCCCAAATGCGGTTGTGCTGGGTCAGGGGGAGGGCGCGCAATGCTCGGTCGAAGGTACGGCGGGTAGTGGTGACGAGCGGCTGCTGCATGAGGAAATTGAGGTACATTTCCCAGATTCGCGGCATCTTGTTAAGCAGGACAAGGGCACGCTCGAAAAGGGCGTTGACCTTGACATAGTGGGGCGCGAACTTGGCTGGGTTCTTGTTGGCAAGGTGCTTTGTCCGCAACTCGAGGTACAGCTTCCACAGCTTGTAGGAGCGCGGGAGCGTGGTGACTGCGCGCTCGAGCACAAAGGCCTGCTCCAGGATGCTCCCACGTGACTTTTTGAAGCTGTAGTAGTCGAGCCATGGCTTGACGCTGCCGGCATTGCGCTGGATGTCCTGTTCGTACGCGACGTCCTGGTCGGTGATGAGGAAAAGGTCGGTCGAGGGCTCCATCTTGCGCTTGGTGGGCCGCGAGAGGCTCGCGGTCACGGTCCTGAGGAGTTCGCCGGGCATGGTTGCGCCAGTGCCAGGGCGTGTAGAGGCCCACGATGGGCAGGAAGTTGAAGGGGTTCGGGACACGACGGGCTGATGAAGCGTGTCGCCGGGTTAAAGTTCTGAGGGCAAGAGCGATGGAGTCCGAGCGGTCAGCGTTTGGCAGCGGCCAATCAGGGCGCGCAGCTGCATGGCCCACTCTGGTAGAGTTGGCAGGCGCGGGTGCACGGACTGGTCTGAAGTAGCTTCCCGGCATAGCTGCGTCACGCTCCGTCCCATTCACTGTACGCCGACTGCGCCTGCCTGAGTGGCCCCGAGACATCCCACCACACCGTCTCTATTTGCGTCGCTTCGTCAGCAGCACTTCTACAGCCCCTCCAGCTCCAGCTCCAGCCCCATACTACACTACCGCGC